ACACACACACACACACACACACACACACACACACACACACACACACACACACACACACAAAATGCCCCCAAACTGGACCATGATGCTTTGTATCCATGAAAAAGTCCAGTGAACAGAAAAACCCAGATGAGACCAGACCTCCTGCTGTGACGAACAGTAAACACAGCGGACAGAGCGAGGCTTCAGCGAGGCAGACCCTCACAGAGATGAGTGCAGCCCCTCTTCATGTGTCCAGAGGATTGTCTCAGACGTCACTCTGATCATCGTCAGCAGAGAACTCCCTCCATCTATGTCGTCTTTCATCCTCCTTCATCCCTGCTGCTGTTTTATCCGGTTCATCTGGACTCACACCGCTTTAAATGTTGAAATACCTGAACTTCAACCTGCCGTGCTTTTATTCTGAAGGTCTGTCTCCTTCCTGTTTTGACCCCAGCTGCGAGTGTTTAAACTGGCTCGCTCCTGGCCGACCCTCAACACCCTCATCAAGATCATCGGGAACTCCATGGGTGCTCTGGGCAACCTGACGCTCGTCCTGGCCATCATCGTCTTCATCTTCGCCGTGGTGGGCATGCAGCTGTTCGGGAAGAACTACCAGGTGAGTCCTGGGGAGGGGCCTTCAGGTGGGGCGGGTCGGTGCACTGGTTTTACTGGTTGTGTGTCTGTCCTGTCAGGAGTGCACCTGTAAGATCTCCAAGGACTGCTCCCTCCCTCGCTGGCACATGAAGGACTTCTTCCACTCCTTCCTGATCGTCTTCAGGGTCCTGTGTGGGGAGTGGATCGAGACCATGTGGGACTGCATGGAGGTGGCGGGACAGCCGCTCTGCATCCTGGTCTTCATGCTGGTCATGGTCATCGGCAACCTGGTGGTGAGTCCACTGCCAGACTGGTTAGGGGGAGGGGGGAGGGACTTCCTGTGCTGGCCTGTGGTTAGCTGATCAGGTGACCTGTAGGAGGCGTGGCCTGAGAATCAAGTGACCTGTAGGAGGCGTGGCCTGAGAATCAAGTGACCTGTAGGAGGCGTGGCCTGAGAATCAGGTGACCTGTAGGAGGCGTGGCCTGAGAATCAGGTGACCTGTAGGAGGCGTGGCCTGAGAATCAAGTGACCTGTAGGAGGCGTGGCCTGAGAATCAAGTGACCTGTAGGAGGTGTGGCCTGAGAATCAAGTGACCTGTAGGAGGAGTGGCCTGCTGATTATTTGACCAGTAGGAGGGGTGGCCTGAGAATCAGGTGAGAGGTGGGGTTGTGTCCTGCTGACCAGGTGACCAGTAGGAGGCGTGGCCTGAGAATCAGTTGACTAGTAGGAGGTGTGGCCTGAGAATCAGGTGACCTGCAGGAGGCGTGTTCTGAGAATTAGGTGACCTGTAGGAGGCATGGCCTGAGAATCAGGTGACCTGTAGGAGGGATGGCCTGCTGATTATTTGACCAGTAGGAGGCGTGGCCTGAGAATCAGGTGACCAGAAGGAGGCGTGGCCTGCTGATTATTTGACCAGTAGGAGGCGTGGCCTGAGAATCAGGTGACCAGAAGGAGGCGTGGCCTGCCGATTATTTGACCAGTAGGAGGCGTGGCCTGAGAAGCAGGTGAGAGGTGGTGTGTCCTGCTGATCCAGGTGACTAGTAGGAGGCATGGCCTGAGAATCAGGTGACCAGTAGGAGGCGTGGCCTGAGAATCAGGTGACCTGCAGGAGGCGTGGTCTGAGAGTCTGGTGACCAGTAGGAGGCGTGGCCTGAGAATCAGGTYACCAGTGGGAGGCGTGGCCTGAGAKGCAGGTGAGAGGTGGGGGTGTGTCCTGCTGACCAGGTGAGCTGCAGGAGGCGTGGCCTGAGAATCAGGTGATCAGTAGGAGGCGTGGCCTGAATGTTTCCTCTGCTGTGTTTCTGGTGTTTCCTGGCTCTGGAGGTTGTTGGTTTGATGTTTTTAGGCCTCTTTGTGTTTAATGTGACCTGCTGTAAAACATCACAGCTTCTCTGAGCTGCTGTTTGTGCAGAAGAAGCTGGTTCAGGTGTGTGAGTGTTGGGGGGCGTGGCCTCTCGTCCTGTTGACTGAGCACATGAGCTTTTATAAAATGTCTTTAAAC